GGTAGAACGGGTCCCCAAGTGCTTGGCCGAGGCTTTGCAAGCTGCGCCATTTCCTTCTCGGGTCTCAAGCCCTGGCTGAGAGACCTGCATTGCAGCGGTACCCGGGAACCAGGCAGGATGGAGGTCCTGCGGTGCTAGGGGCTCAGTAGGGACAGCAGCCCAAAAGAGGGGAGGGGACCGGGCCAAGGTCATGCTGGTTCCAGCCGTGTGCTCTGCCCACTGAGATGTACTGCCTTGGAAGACAGGCCAGGCACTTCTGAGGGTGGGAAGAGGTGGGTATCTGGAACCTGACAAGACACCAGGGTTGTGTCAGATGCCTGGGAATCAACATGAGCAGCTCCTATGCGGGGATTTGAAGCTGAGCTCTATGGGCACCTGGAACAGGAGCCGCCAAGGAGACAGCACTGCTGGGAGCAACAGAGCCTTTCCTGACCCACCCCGCAGCATCCCCGAGTCCAGGGAGGGGCTGGGACCCTGCCCCGAGGGATTTGCCCAGGCACCGCAATCACCACCAGGCCAGCCCGAGACATTCCCTCCCAGAGTCACCCCTGGCTGCCTCTTGAGATGTCTCCGGAGTCCCCCACAGGCCCCAATCCACTCTGCAACCCTCTCCAATGCACTGTGGCTGCCTGCGGGTCCCAGCGGGGCAACAGGCTGGGACATGCAGGCAGCTGCCGGTTCCTGGCACCGGAGAGAGGAGGGAGCAGCAAGCAGGGGAAGGGGCAGTGGAATTGCCTTCTGAGCACTGGGTTACAGAGCCTGGAACAAGGCACACCCAGGAGGAAGGGCACCAAGCCAAGGGCAGCTGAGGAGAGGCTGGAGCCAGAGCCAGGAGACAGCAAGGGCACAGCAGCTCCCAGATCTCAGCTACTGCCCAGATCCAGGTGCTTGGGATGGATGCACCTGCCCCTCCGAGCACCCCTGCCACGGTGCAGTGGGGAAGCTATGCCCCAGGCTGCTGGGAACAGCGGCTAGAGGAGGCACCAAGCAGAAGTCAGCTCCGAGCCCCTCTCACGGGAGCCGGAGACCCAAGAGCTCTGGCTGGCTGCGTCCGTCCTGGCTCTGGCCCTTGTCCCCCAGGGCAGCGCGGACTCACTGTTGGATTTTCTTGGGCGCACAGGAGACACGGCCCATGCACTCCAGCGCCATCGCGTAGGACTCCACGGTGGGCTTCAGGCCGGTGTTGTACAGCATGAAGAATATGCTGCTGACATGCTTCAGGGAGCCCTGGAAGAGGAGAGGAGTTGACCAGAGCCGGGGGAGGAAGGGAGCAAGCAGAGAACCAACCTCCCTCCGTTTTCCCAGGACAGGCTTCGAGCCCTTCCACCCCCTTGACCTCTCCTGAACCGGCGCACCGAGCGCCCCCATTGAAAGAGCCACTGAGTTTGCTGGATCTCAAACTAAACTGCCAATGGAGGTGGCACCGGAAGCACCAATCCCAGCTGCGGGCCAACTGGAGCCAGGCTGCGGGGTCGGAGAAGCTCCCAGACCAGCTCAGGTCCTGCCTCTCGGACGGCTCAGTTGATCCCCGCCTGCGGATCCCAGCTGCACGGAGATGTGGAGTTCGGCCCAAACAGCTCAGAAAACCCATCAGGAGAAGCCGCCAGCCCCTGCGCCTGGCTCACGGGGTAAAGCCCCATCGATGGCGCTTTCGGGGCTCGAATCCACGGCCTCTCCACCTGAGAGCACGAGGGGTGAGCTCAGCGACGGAGCCCACATACCTTCTTGGCCCAGCCACGTAGGAGGATGTTGTACATCTTGCTGCACAGGAGCTTGCGGTACTTGGGGGACTGGCAGCAGAAGACCAGGCACTGCTGGGCCCACTCGGGCTTGTCCAGGAAGAGGCAGGTCTCCAGGTAGGCCACGATGCTCCGCTGCATGCCCCGGTGCTTCTCCTTGCCCTCCAGCTTGTCGGCTCTGCCCTCCCCGGGGGCAGGCGAGCTCTGCTTGGCAGCCTTGTGGGCACCGGCTTTGGCCTTCCGCTGCTTCTTCGCGCCCTGCTCCGTCGACTCGGCGCGGGCGAGAGCCGCCGAGACCCGCTCCTCCAGCGTCAGCTGCAGCTCGCTCTCGCTCAGGGCCGACTCCTCGGGGAACACGGCGGCCCCGACCCCGACTCCGAAGTGCCCCGCGGGGGCCTGAGGGCCGTCCGGGCGTGGTGGGGCCAGGCCCGCCCTGCCCAGCATCACCCGGTCCGGCGCAGCGCTGGCTCGCAGCTGCTGCATGCGGGCTTCCAGCACTGCAGGGAAACGGGGGTGGGGGGAGGACGTCAAAATGGAGGTGGCGCCCACGCCGCGGCCAGCCACGAAACCTCCCCTCCTCCTCGGCGCTGGTCGAGCGGCCCCGCAGCGCGGCCCACAGGCGGTCTGCGGGGACACGGGGCGGTGAGGCGCGAGCCACGTGCAAATGCATGCGTGCACGGGTGCGCACGCATGCACGCGTGCCCACCCAGCGGTACGCACCTAGGCATGCACTCACACACACACTCACTCACACACCCCCCCCAATGCATGCACGCACCCAGACAGGCAGGCGTGCCAAGTGCACACGCGGGCCCCCTCCCCCCTGCTCTCCTGTCTTGGGGGCTGCCCCTGGGGCGCCCAGACGGATGGGGGGGCACTGCCAAGGGGGTGCAGAGGGGCCCCAGGAGGGCTGGGGGGGTACCTGCTCCCCAGGGCCCCGCTCGCGCCGGCAGTCGCAGTGCCCACATGCCAGCCCTGCCAGGCCGCGCCGCCACCGCGCAGGCGCGAGCCGCGTGGTCCGCCGGGAGCTGGAGGCCGGTTGGAACTACAACTCCCGGCGTGCCCCGCGGCTCCAGGGCCCGGCTGCGGGAGCGGGGCGCGCTGCGGCTCCCCCTGGCGGCCGGAGTCGGGCAGCCCGCAGAGATTGGGATAAACCCTACCCCGAAGAGCTTGTGATAGGGGTGTAGGACAAGCGCCAGGGCTGTAGGGCACTGGGGTGCACCGTGTGCCAGACAGTGGCCGGGCCCAGACAATGAACAATTGTGGGTCCAGTAAGCTGGGAAGGCCCCGGCGGGAGCTGGAGTCCCACTGAGCTGTGCCCTTCATCCCATCCTAGAGCTGGGCACTTGGGCTGGCACCTGGTGCCAGGCAGCCCTGCCCTGCAGAGCTCTCCTCTCCTCTCCTCTCTCCACCCATCCCCTCACATAAATTTGAGCCCCATAAATTTCAGTGGTAGCCCTGAGGTTTCCAGCCCATCTTCTCCACCTCCTCCCTGCCCCCAGAGCCACTTTTCAACAACCTGGATGTTGTTGCTGCTCGCGCAACACCCCCGAGGTTTGGGGGGAGCAGCCGGGGTCCCTTCCTCCCCCCAGGTGCTGCAATATTCAGCAGCAAGAGGAAACCGGATCTGCAGCTGCCCAGATAAACAGAGGTCATTAGCTGCCCCCCTGGGCAGGCACTGAGCGGGGGAAAGGGGTCCCAACAGAGCCAGGCCTGGGTTGGAGAAGGAAAAAACAAGAGCGGGGTGCCCCGGGCATCCCAGTCCTGCTGCCGTGCTGGCCCCAGCAGGGCCCCAGCCTGCCTCAGTGTCACGTTTGCGGCCCATGAGACAGACTCACCAGCAGGAGGGTCGTGCGTGTGTGCAAGGCACTAGGCTAGCCATCCTCAGCAGGCACCCACGAGCCATGAGGCGTAGCTGTGGGGGTGCTTTTCTGTGTACAGGGGGCATTTTTGTGTGCATGCATGTGTGTGATCATTGGGCACACGTGCGTTGGTGTGCATGTGCATGTGGGGAGAAGGATCAATTAATCTTCAATTGTGTGTGGGGAGGGTTGGAGGGCAGTGATTACCAATCCCATGTGCCTTGCTGTGCCTTTACATGTGTGCGCACGGTGGGCACGTGCAACATCATACCTGTGTCGGTGCGTGTGTGCATTCTCGTCACATGACCAGCCATTGCATGTCCATGCACACACACGCACACACACATCACGAGGCCTGCAGCTGTCCCCGCGTGTGTGCCTGCATTGCCGATAACACACCCATTGCCATCCCGGTCACGCGACCGGCAGGTCGTATGTGTCTGCATGTCGCCAAAGACACGCGACCCGCCACCTCATGTGCGTGCATAAGTATGACCGCGTCACGGTGCCCTCCCCAAGGTCACCCTCCGCTGCAGACCTGGGCTGCCCCCCACCCCCGTGCCCACGCCGTGTCCTGCTGCTGCAGCCACGAGGCCTGGCGGTGGCACGCGGTGATTCACGGATGCTATTAGGCTAAAAAACCCCAAACTGGCCGGATCAGCCAACGCACGCGTGCGCCAGATTTCCTCCCGGCCGCTAACGAGGGAGAGGAGCGTCTGCAAACCGAGCCGGGCCGCCAGCTCCTCCGCCAAGCAGGGCAGGCGGGGTGGCCGGGCCCGAGGGGCCTCCCATGGATCCCGCCAGGCATCGGGGTACTTCTGGCGGCAGGAGCTCGTGCCCCGGGGAGCAGGTGCAGGGTCCGTGCCCGATGCCCAGCAGCCGCTGCTCTGGCCCTTCCTCCACCCGAAAACCCAGGCTGGGATCCGGCCAGGCTCCATCCCCTGGGGGTGTAAAGGGAGGAAACGGAGGCACGACACGCCAAGGGACACCAGAAACCTTGGGGGGGGAGTGGTGATCCTACGACTCCAATGCCCCAAGGGGGTGCTCTAACCACTGCCCCCGCCGGCCGGGCAGGCCCCGCCCCC